CCTCCAGATGACTTAAGAAACTCCTGTAAATCTTCTGGACATTCTCCTTGTTTAAGTTGGGGAATGCTGCCATAATCCTTCGATCAGTTCATCTTTGGTGTTACAAGGAGTTTTGCAAATGCCAAGCAGTACAGCATGTTGTTTCCAAATTTCTGGCAAAGTGAATTACATCACGGTGCTCTTTTTCTCAGACAGTGCCCAACTGACCCTGCTATATTGCACAGTTGACAAAATAAAAAATATAAAATGTGCTTGTTTGAAATTAAAAATATAAAATGTTGACAATTTACTAATCGCACCTTGTCTATCTATATAAAACATAAAATGGTGACAATTTACCTATAGCACACTAAATATATAAAAAATATAAAATAGCGACAATTTACCCATATATATATATATATTAAAAATATAAAATGGCAACAATTTACTCATCACACCCTGTATATATATACACATATATATATTAAAAATAAAAATTGGCACCAATTTACCCATTGCACACTGTATATATTAAAAATATAAAATGGTGACAATTTACTCATCGCACCCTGTGTGTGTGTGTGTGTATATATATATATATATTAAAAATATAAAATGGAGATAATTTTCCCATCGCACCTTGCATCTATATCTATAATTCTCAAAATGTTTGTGCGTATGTAAATGTGTCTGTCAGTGTGATTGGATGCTGTTTATGCATTTCCACAGTTTACACCTGATTTTAATGAATTTTTTTGATAGATAATTCTTCAGTGCTGGTTTTGACTCCAAATTGTTGGCGACCATAGCTCTCCACTACTTCCTGCCCATTATAACTCTCAGTAACATTTTACTATTTACTATCTGTTCTTGGATATATATCTTTCATAAAAACTTTAATAAAAATAAATAGTTTAAGTTATTACAATAATATTATCTATATCTATAATTCTCAAAATATGTGTGTGTGTGTGTGTGTGTGATCGGATGTTGTCTATGCGTTTCCACAGTTTTCATCCAATTTCAATTAAATTTTTTGTTTCATACATAAATATTCAGTGCCAGTTTTGAGCCCAAATTAGCTGGAAAAAATTACAACCTTTAAAGTGAAAAATTGAAAATCTTTAATCCTCTTTTGGGCTGACTTTAAACTTAAACTGCTCCAACTGAATGGCAAAAATTCCCAGTAATGAAAGACCCAGTCAAAGATTGTAGGTCTTAGCAAGGACTGTTCTTCTTTGAAGATTATGGACTAGGGCTACAGAATCACAAACAACCACACTCTCAGATCAACAATTAAAAATAGCTTTGAGCAAATGAAACCTGTAACTCTTAATGAGGATCATCCTTTGTCACACCTTCTAGATTAGCACAATAGAATAAAAAAAGAATTGGATCAAATATCAGAAACCATATCACCTGACGACTTTCAACTAAAATGAATCACACATTAACTCAGAGATATTAATGGCATAATCAAGACACTGACATTCCAAATAACTTCAAACAATTTTTTCTTTATCATTTTAGAACGAAAGGGTAAATACAATATCAAATTGATCATTGGCTTTTTAAAGAGTTATCTGTAATTTGTTTTTATTTATAAATCTCAAGTTTGAAACTATGCTAACACCATTGATAACTATGTACTAACTTGGGATAAAGAACAACATCATTAATACAGGTAAAGCTAAAATGTCTGGGATTGATTTGACACTATTTATATCATGATCAGGACCTCCTTCTAAAATGATAAAAAAATTAATATTAATGTTGTCAGTAGAGGATAATCTAATAAAGAATAATATGCACAAATTATTGCAAAAAATTTTTGTGTCAGTAAAGAAAGGATAAGTGATAAATAGAATATTTGTTCATGTTATAGATCTTAGCAACATTTGCATATGATTTGTTTCTTTTATTTATTAACTTTGAAACTTTCACCTTTATCCTTAAATATAGTAACTATCTCACTTGTTGGCTATTGTGTCATGTAGAGGCTCCCTTACTTTGCATTATTCAGCAGTAATAGCAACAGAAGCAATCAGCAGGGTATAACCCAAAGTCCCAGAAATCATTAAAAACATTGACTGAGCCCTATTAGGTCTCTTTTCCACACTTCCTTTTAAGCATCCACTATCTTCAAGGCCGAGCAGGAAGGGCTACTCACAACCCTTGCTGCAGAAGACACATGGTTGTTCTGGCAATTTGACACTCAGATTTCTCATTCTTTGTGGGAACAAGCAGAGAAATCTCCCTTTGAGACATCTACCCAAAGGACTACTCACAACCCTTGCTGCAGAAGATAGATACCAGTCCTAGCAGTTTGGCACTTAGATTTTGTGTTCTTGATGCAAACAAGCAGAGAAATGTCCCCCTATGAAACATATAATCAAGGAAGAACTTTTTTAACTGGTAAACCCAGCTCTTTTTCCACAAAAAATACCACTATTTTGCACTCTTTATTTCAACCACAAATAAAAGCTGTTAAACAGTTATTTAAATTCTTAGGTTTTGTTCCTTTCACTCTCACTGCCAAGCATACTCACATGCAACTGGTAAAAATTCTTATACAAAAATAACCATTTCATTTCTTTTTGGCATATCCAAATTATCACTGCCAACCTGGGTTAGTACTTAAACTGGTGACTGCTTGGAAATAACAGGTGCTGTAAGTTTGAATGTGTCGGTGATGTAATGGATTATGGCTTGGAATTGTAAATGAGAGCTGAATTCCAATTTCAGTTGGGTTTGTTATAGTCACTTACGCACAAATAGCCTTGGGAAAATTATAAATCCCCCTTTTTTGACTCCCTGCTATAGGTTAATTAGTAGGACTTGTATTGATAAAATCATTATTATTTCTCCACCCTGTAAAAAATCTTACAAGCTAAAAATATTTTCTGGCTTTAAATAACCTACAAAGGTTGATAAGCCATAACAAACAAATCAATCAAATCAAATTACCAACAAAACTTCAATTATAATTAAGAAGCATTATTATTAACAATATTAATTACACCTTACAAATTTTTATTCATGAGGTTGATTGTAGATAAGTGAAATCATAGTCAAAGCAAGATAACTTTATTTTCTCGATCGAATTCATCCCATGCAAGGCAGTTAAGCCACAAAGACACAAGGGATTACTACGTGTGAATGAATTAGAAAACAAGCATTTTGAGGAGCAAGGATAATAGGAGAGTAATCAGGAAGACAGTAGATAGGGACTGACATTGAATTTAAATTTTTGAAGATCAAAGTTGACTGGAAAGCAAGAAGCCAGAAGAGAGTTGCTACAAACAAAAAAGTGTGAGAAAAGAAACTGTTCATATAAAACGTACATTTACATCTAGTCAACTGTAAATTGATGAAACCTTGTTGCCAATCTAGTACTGTGCTTAAATTCATAAAGTCTAGGTACCATATTCATCTAAACCAGTGGTTCTCAACCTTTTTTTACCCATGGACCCCTTTCCCCTTCTTTTTATCTTGGTGGACCCCTTCATAGCTATTGGACATAAGAACAATTTTCTATTCTTCACTAATATAAATTTTAAGGTTTTAATTATCAAAGAAATAGTATACGATTAAGCTTTATTTTTAAATGAAAACTAATTTAATACAAATAAAATATTCTACTATAATTATAATAATAATTATTATTACTATTTTTAATTAACACAACAATTGTGTTTTGCCTGTGGACCCCCGGAAATATTACATGGACCCCTAGGGTCCATGTAGACCCTGGTTGAGAACCACTGATCTAAACAATTACCATGAAATTATTTATAGAAAAGTCAGAACGAAGCAATAATATTCCTGAATCTTCTTTGGAATTTTACTAAGAATCTCTAAATATATAGCAGGGGCACAAGACCATATGTGGCAGCAATATTCAAAGCAAGGATAAATAGTAGACTTATAGATATATAGGCAATTTTTCTCTCCAAAATCTAATCTGACACAGTGAAATATACATCTAGTTTTGCTTAAAACTTGAATATTCATCTGTTTGAATGATTTTTGTTTTCTTTTAATGGAATTCCCCCCAGCAAGGCAATAAAGCTACTAAGACACAAATGGTTAATGGATGTGAAAGAATTAGAAAACAGAAACATTGTTCAGGATCAAGAACAACAGAAGAGTGACCAGGAAGAAAGTAAATAATGATTGACATTGGATTTATAATTTTGAAGATCAAAGTTGGCTGAAAAGAATGGAGCTGGAAGAGTGTTCTACATGTGAGAAGTGTGAGAAAAAAAATCTTTTAACATAGAAATTATGGTTATATCTAGCAAATTCAATTGTAAATTGATAGGACCTTGTTTCCAATCTAGTATTCTGCTTAAATTCATAAAAATTCGTATTGTAGGAAAGAGCTTATTCAAACAATTACCATCAAAGTATTTATAGAAAAGACACCACTTTATGGTTGTGGGAAAGTGAGTGAAGCCAGGATGCCAGGTCAGGACCAATAATATTGCTGATTCTTCTTTCGATTTTATCAAGAATCTTTAAATATATAGCAGAAGCACAAGACCATATGTGACAGCAATATTTGAGGCATGGGTGAATGGTAGACTTATAGATATATAAGATAGACAAGTGACTGAAGCTGAGATGCCAGGTCAGGACCAATAATATTGCTGATTCTTCTTTGGATTTTAGTAAAAATCTCTAAATATATAGAAGAAGCACCGGACCATATTTGGCAGCAATATTTGAAACATGGATGAATGGTAGACTTATACATATTTAATATGGATTCAGGAAGGAAAAACTGTCAAGGACAACACAGTGAATCAACCTTCTTAGCAGCAGATCGAGCAGTGGATTCAGTATATGCTTTCTACTTCATGTCAGTCAAGAATGTTAGCCTGAGAACGTGCAATGAGTCACTCTGATGGAGGTTAGCATCAGCCATGTCGATGGGATGCAGAAAGGGGTTTCTCAGATGTTTTAGAGAGCAGTTTTATTTTGGAGGCATTAAAATTAACAAGCCATCCTTTGCCTCAGAGAAAGTGATAAATAGTAAAAAATGTAGAGAGAAAGAGAGGGATAAATAGTAAAATATGTAGAGAGGGGGAGAGAGATAAATAATAAAAGATGTGGAGAGAGAGAGATAAAAAGTAAAAGATGGAAAGAGAGAGATAAATTGTAAAATATGTAGAGAGAGATATAAATAGTAAAAGATGGAGAGAGAGATAAATAGTAAGAGTGAGAGCAACAGAAAAGGAAATGGGAAGAGAGAGAGACAAAGACTTATATATAGAGAGTAAAAGAGAGTAAAAGATAGAAAGACAGTCTAAAATGATGAGAAATGGAGACAAAGAGAGTGAAAGCAAAAAGAAAAAATAATTAAAAAACAGGAAAAAGAAAAGTGAAACATAACAAAATAAGAGAGAGAAAAGAGAAGAAAAAGAGGGAGAGAGTGAGAGATAAATAGTAAAAGGTGGGAAGAGAGAGATAAATAATAAAAGATGTGCAGAGAGAGGAGAGAGAGATAAATTGTAAAAGCTGTAGAAAGAGAGAGAGATAAATAGTAAAAAAGGGGGAAAGAGAGAGATAAATAGTAAAAGATTGAGCAGAGAGAGGAGAGAGAAGTAAATTGTAAAAGCTGTAGAAAGAGAGAGAGATAAATAGTAAAAAAGTGGGAAAGAGAGAGATAAATAGTAAAAGATGAGCAGAGAGAGGAGAGAGAAGTAAATTGTAAAAGATGTAGAAAGAGAGAGAGATAAATAGTAAACTATAAAGTGGAAGACAAATAGTAAAAAAAAGAGGGAAAGATAGAGATAAATAGTAAAAGATGAGCAGAGAGAGGGGAGAGAGATAAATAGTAAAATATGAGTAGAGAGAGGAGAGAGATAAATTGTAAAAGATGTAGAAAGAGAGAGAGATAAATAGTAAAAGAGGGAGAGTGAGTGAAAGAAAAAACGGAGAGAGAGAGATAGTAAAAGACAGGATGAGATAGTGTAAAAACTTGAGAAATTGAGACAAAGAGAGTGAATGCAAAAGTCGGAGAAAGATGTAAAAAAAACACAAAGGCAAAGGAAAGTGAAAGTCATAACAAAACGACAGAGGGGGAAAAAGAGCAGAAAGAGGAGAGAAGGGAAGAGAGAGAGAAAGTTATGGTAAAAAAGCAGAATTTGTTCATTTATGGCTGTATTCATTTTCAAGATGAACTGAAACACTCATAATATCTGTATTCATGTTATTAATGTTCACCAGTGAATTTGGCCAAGGAAAGAAATGAAAACAAAATGACTTTGCAAATGTCTTTCATCCACTTGTACAGAGAAGGACTAATTGACATCGATTCAGTTTGTTTACCTGAAAAGAGGCTGAATAATGCAATTAATTCTTTGCAACTCGTGATGAAAACTTGACAGCCTTCATGATGTATTCTGATAATAATGATAATAACATCAGTTTCACAAAAATGGCTGAGTAGCCTGTCTTTGTGTCTTTTATAAACTGTGTTCCTTCAGGACGTGCGCAATCATGGTTCTCCACAACTGCCTATCCCTTGTAGCTCTATGTTTGGATCTAAAAGAAAATGTAGCTGAATGTTGTTAAGTCCATAATTTTCACTTTTACAAAGAGCCAGCCAAAAGTAATTTTAATAAATTTATCAGTTCGTTCATCTGTGAAGTTACCAGGATTTCCCATCTTCCTTAATAGAACAAAAGGTACAATGAATTAATATAAATGTTGAAGCTAAAATTACACCTGAGTCAAAAGGGTACACATAAGTTCGGTGTACACCAATCAAAAGTGAACAGACAAGTCCAGTTTACACAGAGTCGAGAGGATACCCAGATGTTTGGTTTACACACAAGTCAGAAAAGGTGACATATATTTGGTTTACATGTGAGTTTACAAGTATCCAATTGTTCTCAGTACTGAGGAATGCTAATTTTTAATATCATGTTGAAATCTACTTATATTAAGACCTACCAGCCATCACTGTGTAAGTAGGAGTTGTTGTTAAGTTTAAATGTAATTAACCTTTTTTTTTATTCTTATATAACAATTTGTCTTTGGTGTTCATTTTTAATTGCTGTGCACATTTCTTGTCCTTGATTGAGCTCTGATGAGAGAGGACCAATAGACCAGGTTATCTGCTTTTTTGTTGTTTTATATTTCAGTATTATCACTATATAGTAATGTAACATTTTTTACCCCTCTTTTTTGTTGTTTTTGTCTTTTTGTATTAAAATATTTGTTTTTAATAGTTGTACTACAATTTCTAACATGGAAATATCCTTAGTGCCTTTCATTGTTAAGCAAAAACTATATCCTATATCTTTATTGAGCAATGAAGGCCACATCATCTTCCATGTGCTGCATTCATTCAGGATGTGGCTGATCATGTCTCTCCACAATTTCCTACCCTTTGTAGCTCTTAGTAAAGTTTGTCTTTTTGCTATCTCACCTAATCCCTGTTCTGTCAACATGTTCATTAGATAGGTTATACATTGCTTTCCTCTCTCTTGTCTTCAGTGTGCGCTGTGAGTGTCAAATTCACCAAGCCCTATTTCCACATTATGTACCCAAGAAATCTGATCAGAAAGAGATAGATGAAGATATCTACTGAATTTCTAATATAAAGGGTTAGTAAACAGTGTTATGAAGAATGTCATTAATATATGTGAACATTATTCATCCATTATTTGAAGAGCTTTTTCCTTTTTATGGAAAAAAATTACAGGATTTTTACATAAACAATCTTGTTATTTTTGATGGGTAGTATCCGAGTTCCCATTTTATTTTTATCTCTGCTTGGAAATGAGAGTAAGTGATCAAGTAACCATTTGGGTGAGAAGGAGAGTGAATCCAACTATTTCCTGCTACTGTAGCCAGCCATGACATCTGCCAATTCCATAAACACATGGGTTCAAGAACTCGGGTTTTTGACAGTAATATCGCCACCATAGGATTATTCTGGCATTAACAGTCAGTATAAACAAGCGGATGAGAAAGCTTTTGACAGCCATGTCAACAAGCAGGCCAGTGGTCATGTCAACTCAAAAGTCAATCAGCAGATTAGGATACAGGCTTGGTTTGCTTAAGTAATTGTGTCAGCCAGTTGTGATCCCAGGCTGGCCCTCAAGATTTAATTCCTTTGTGATGTCTTGCTTTCTTCTTTTGGTATTATCTTAGATGTACTGTGATTCAATCTGTTTCAGCTCTTGTTAAGCGCTGACCTGAAGGATGTGAATTCTGCTTTCTTGAGTTTATTGCTGCCATATTAACCCTTGCTTCTACCAGTTAGCTTTTGGAATACTTCATTTTAGATCCCTTGGATCTCCGATTCTGAAATGCATACTGAAGACAATTCATTACAGTCTGGCACAAGATTTTTCTAAAAATTTAACACTTTAAGACTGGAAGTGGCCAAATGCACCTACAAGTTTCCTATACCTACAGTACATAAGTGCCTGAATGTGACCGCAATTTTAGAAATCATCAAAAGACAAAGACTGTAGAAACTACAAAAACCAATTTTTGTTGGTGGTAATGCAAGAAATCTTAAATTTAATGGAGTCATACAACAGAAGCTGGAAGGTCAGCAAGAAGGTGATCACTCCAGGCTGAGTCACCTGGGCAAGGAGGTCTGATATTTTTAGAGGCCTGGATCCCTCAAAAAACATCAGAAATAAAAAACACTGACGAAGCTTCTTGGTGCATCACAGAGGTGTTTGAGAATAGTGCAACTTTTCATAACCATATCTCATAATCATTAATATGACTGAGGAGGCTAAATTTGGCATAATTTGAGAAATCAATTTATTTTTATATAAAAACTGACCCATAATATTTGATTCTTGACTCATATTGCTAATACAAAGATAAACTGAAACAACAACAATGTGGTTCTACAGAAGGATGCTGAGAATACTATGGAATGAAAATATGAGCAACAAAAAAGTTTTAGATAAAATGGAAACAAAATGGACAAAAAGAGACAGTTGAAATTTCTAGGGCACATAATGAGGAAAGAGAGCTTGGAAAATCTGACATATTTTTCCACACATTTAAGTCTTGTCTTTAGAGAAAATAGAAAACAAAAAGGACACTTATACTTGACATCAGGTAGAGAGTTGAAGTTTCTAGGGCACATAATGAGGAAAGAGAAGTTTGAAAATTTGATACTCACAAGACTGATTGAAAGCAAGAAGGATAGAAGAAAAAAGACATAACCTACCTAGCGAGCTTAAATGGACATTGGAACAAGGTTTAGGAGAGATAACAAAAAGGTAAAGTTTACTAAGAGATATAAAGATAGGAAATTGTGGAGAGCCGTGATCACCAATGTTCTGATTATACATATGGCTTATCCCAGATTATCTGTACCACACTCTTTGCAGTTAATTTGAAATTACAATTGCTAATTTTAAAAGAGATATTCATAAGTATTTTCTCTGATTAGTTTGGTACAAGGCCATCCAATGAGGATTGAAATCCCTTCAGGATGAGATGAGTTTGTTAATTACAACTGCATAGCAAGACACCCTATATTTACTGAGTCAGGTTTAGTTTGGCACAATGTCATTGTTGTGTGGCACCCAGTGAGTATCATGGCCCTTCAGAATATAGATAATTATTGCTCTCCAATGATAAAGTTAGAAAAAATTGGAAACAAAAAAGTACATTGATACTTTGAATCAAAAAGAGAGGGTTGAAACTTCAAGGGCACATAATGAGAAAAGAGGGTTTGGAAAATTTGACACTCACAGGACTTATTGAATGCAAGAGAGAAAGAGGAAAACAGCACATGACCAACCTGCTTGTGTAAATGGTTGGCAAAACAAGGTTTAGGAGAGATAGCAAAAAGACAAAATTTACTAAGAGCTGCAAAGGACAGGAAGTTGTGGAGAAACATGATTACCCCATCCTGAAGGGAGATGGTTGGTTGATTTTGTGTAGCAGCATACCAACCTCTATCATTTATTTAATGTCAAAATCTAAATATTTGGAACTCAATATGGCTTCAACTAAATATATTTTGAATGCAACTGTATGCTTTCAACTACAGATATATTGTTCACTATTTTTCTATCATAGGTATTGTTGGTAATTTTATTATAAATAGATATTATTGGTAATTTTTTATATAAAAATATATTGCTGGTATTTTTAGTATAAAAATGTATTTTTATACTTTCATAGCATTTTGTTTTTGTTAGGGGGTTTGCTATTTGCTCATAGCTGGGGACCCTAACAGGTGCTACTACTCTGCATTAGGGTGGACCTGGAAAAAATAACAATGAAGATGTGGTTCCATGCTGTCATACCCAGGGCTGAAGGGACACTGCATATAGAATAAGAAGAATGATTCCTGATTTTCAGCAGTTTTTGAGAAAAATCAATTTAATTACATTAATATCACATATTCAGATATTTAAAAAATCCTGTCAGAACTCAAGGGATTTAATAATTGAAATCTCTTAAGGGCTGATAGTGTTAATTACACTTTTAGATGATTGAAAAAAAAATACAATTTTCTTACCTTGACTCATATTGCTAATACAGAAATTTAAAGATTAACTGAAGAAATAGGTATGAGGTTATTTGGTGCAATTATATTGTTATCCCAATTAAGCAGAAGGTGCCTTTTTTGTTTTAGTATAAAGTATGTTTGGGTAGATCAAAAAATCCAATTTTTATGTTGAATTTTCCTTCTATAATGCTCAATGTCTGTGATGAATAATCACTACTGAATTAAGTGCATTGACAATGAAAGAGATTACACTGAAAAATAAAGATCTGCTGTAAAAAGCAAAAGCTTTTTTTTTATTCATTAGGCATCAAATTTATTTATGAACCATATGGTGGACTCTCTCATCACAGATGACAAATTAGGGCTCAGTAAAATAAGGAGATGCTCAAACTTTTATTGACATGCATGTATCTCCTGAGGCCTGCAGGTGTTTTGAAAACTTTTAGACAGATAGAACAGGGGGTTGAGTAAAGGCTGGCTTTACTGAATGTGACAATGCTACAGTGGAGAGTAAGGCTATATATATATATATATATATATATATATATAATTATTTATTTAAAAATATGATTCCAACTCGCGACATAAGAGGTCTCATGTTTCAAAACAAGAGCCGAAAACTTCAATATAATTATTTGAATTAAATTGAGTTAAAGTGAACTCTGT